AACTAACGACACACACCACTTAAAGGAATTCCAATTCTATAATTTGTTAAGCCATTGTGTTGGGCAAGCAAAACAGTTTCCTGGGAAGATTCAGCCTATTGGGTTGGACTTAGTCTGTGGATAGCCAGCTTTTTAGCATTCCATTTTTCTATTGCTGTGTGACAAACTTCCCCCAAATTTAGAGTACTGAAACAACAGTAATTATTTATTTTTATCTCTCATTGTTCTGGGGGTCACTAGGCTCAGTTGCATGGTTCTTGTGTGGGGTCTTTCTTTTCTTTCTTTTTTTTTGAGACAGAGTCGTGCTGTCACATAGGCTGGAGTGCATTGGCATGATCTCTGCTCACTGCAACCTCCATCTTCCAGGTTCAAGCGATTCTCCTATCTCAGCCTCCTTAGTAGCTGAGATTATAGGTGCCCACCACCACACTTGGCTAATTTTTGTAGTTTTAGTAGAGATGGAGTTTCACCCTATTGACCAGGCTGGTTTTGAACTCCTGACTTCAAGTGATCTGCCCACCTCAGCCTCCCAGAATGCTGGGATTACAGGTATGAGCCACTGCACCTGGCCATTTGTAGTCTTTCATATAGTTACAGTCAGATAGTGGCTGAGGCTGGAGTCATATGGAAGACTACCTCTCTTACATGTCTAGTGGTTGATACTGTTGACTAGAATATCTACATACGTCCTCTTCATGTATGTTGGGTTTTTTTTACAGCATGTTGATTGATAAAGAAACTTCAAAGAGCAGCTTTCCTGAGAAAGAGAGAGGGAGGGAGAAAGGGTGTGCTTTTATGCATCAGGGGGAGGTTGTATCACCTTTAATTACCTAGCCTTGGAAGTCACATCATCATTTCTGCTGCATGTTATTCTTTAGAAGTGAGTTGTTAAGGCTAACCCATAATCGGGGGAGAGGAATTTAGATTCCATCTCTTAATGGGAGGAGTGTAAAAAAGTTTGCAAATACATATTAAAACTAGCACATGTAGCCTTACATTAGAGAATAGTAAAACTAAATATATAATAAGCTTGGATGTAATAAGGGAGATACACAAAATGTTTAACAGCTGTTTTGGCACGGGCCCTGAGCAAAGAGAAGAAATAACAGCATCAACAACTGGTGGGATCTACTGGTGCAGCTGCTTCATATTAGCGCTGGGTATTATTAAGGCTCCAAACATGCCCTACAGTCAGTAAGAGCCCTAGGAGGTCAGGAATGGTAAGATCATGTGTCTGAAATAAGATGTTTTAGTTATTCTTGCTGAAGCTTCAGAAGCCCCATTAAGGTCTAGTTTCAGAGATTGGTTGTTTGATTGGTTTGATTTGTCTACCTTTGTCTACCAGCAGTTAGGAACCTTTTCCCTGCATGGCCCTTACCTGAATGTTTTAAAAGTTTGTTATTTTAAAGAGAGGGGAGTTGGGAAGGACAGAAAGAGAAGGGGCAAGCTCTAGGAATACACATTATCTTTTGTATATGTTATGATTAAGTCCAATGTTATTTAGTAGCCAAGGCACCTGGATTTTCCCCTCTTGACCTACAAATTTTGGGTTCTTTGGGTAGTATACTAGTTTCTTGTTGCTATGTAACAAACTCCTACAAACTTAGCAGCTTAAAACAACACAGATTTATTGTCTCACAGTTCTGTATGTCAGAAATCAAGGATAGCTTGGTGTTTTCTCTGCTTTGGTTTTCATAAGGCTAAAATTAGAGTGTCAGCTGGCTGGGCTTTTATGGGGAGACTCTGGGAAGAATCCCCTTCCAAGAGAATTCAGGTTGTTGGCAGAATCCAGTTCTCTCTGGTTGTAGGGCTAAGGTCTTTACTTCCTCGCTGTCTGTCGCCTGGAGGCCAGTCTTTGCTCTCAGAGGCCTTTATCCAGTCTTCACACATTGCACCTGCATCTTAGAACCAGCAGCATGTCAAATCCTTCTCACCCTGGACTTGCCCTGACTTCCTGCTCTGCAGTATCTGCTCCGACTTCCTCCTCTGTTGCATCTCTCTGATTCCAGCCAAACAAGGTTGTCTGCTTTGAAGGGCTTGTGATTAGATTGAGCCTACCTGAATATTCCAGGATAATCTCTCTATTTTAAGGTCCTTAAGCTTAATCATACCTGCAAAGTCCTTCTTACTATGTAATGTAACATATTCATAGGATCCAGGGATTAGGACTTAGCCATCATTCTACCTACTACAGGCAGCAAAGTTAGGTCAATAGAGGTGCTTTCCCCTCACTTGTTTCCTCAGGAAACTAGGCCAACCAGCAAGTTTATGTTAAACACTGGGGCTTCATTGAAATACCCTAAATTTGAAGGAAAAGAATATGCATTTTATGTAAATATGTCTAGGTTTCAGTTTTGAAAAGACAGGAGGTGCTCTTTCTTGATTTCCAGTAATAATGTCAGTATAATATAATGCTTAGGAGAACTAGTTTAAAGTTAGGCAGACCAGACCTTGTACAAGTACATAATGCTCCTAAGTCTCATTATCCTCATCTGTGAAATGGGCTTATAATTCCAATGTTGCTGTGGGGAAAAAGTGATGAATAGAATGTGCTTAGTATATAGTAAGTGCTCAATGAGTGTTAGTTAATACTAATGATGATAACAGAATGACATATTCATAGACTTCTTTATGGTTGGGGAGAAGGTATGAGTTTACCAACTAGTATTAACAATTGCGTTTCCTATCAGTTTCATATTAACCTGATATAAATTAATTTGTTAGTCTGACATAATTACCCTGTTAGACATAAATGAGTAAAGCAATTGTTCTAGAAAGGGATTTATACAAGCTTGTTTTTCTTTCTTTCCTTTTTTTTTTTTTTTTTTTTTTGAGACAGAGTCTCACTATGTTGCCCAGGTTGGACTCGAACTTCTGGGCTCAGTCCTCTTGCCTCAGCCTCCCAAGTAACTGGAACTATATTTGCGTGCCACTGCTGGACTTAAGAGTTTATTTTTAGCAGGTTCGCTTAAGATGAATTGCTTGATTTTATTCATAACAAGCAGTTACTGAAACTCACAACCATCTAAGTAGTCAGGGGTTGGCCACAATGGCCTGTGGGCTCAATGTCACCTGCTGCCTGTTTTTATATGGGCCATGAACTAAGAATGAGTTTTAGAGATAAATGTTTGCAATTGGTTTGATGATGGTGAAGCACTAACTTCGTTTTGTTTTTTGTTTTTGTTTTTTAATTAAAATAATTTTTGTGGGTACGTAGTTGTAAATATTTATGGGGTACATGAAATATTTTGATTCAGGCCTGCATAATCATTACATCATGGAAGATGGGAGCATCCATCCTGTCAAGCATTTGTCCTTTGTGTTACAAACAACCCACTTACACTATTTTAGTTATTTCAAAATGTACAATTTAATTATTGACTATAGTCACCCTGTTGTGCTATCAAATACTAGGTCTTATTCATTCCTTCTAACTATATATTTTTTGTACCCATTTCCCATTCCCTCTTCTCCCCCATTCCCCTACTGCCCTTCCAAGCCTCTGGTAACCACCCTTCTACTCTCTACCTCCATGAGTTCAATTGTTTTGATTTTTAGATCCCACAAATATGTGAGAACATGCAATGTTTGTTTTTCTGTGCCTGGCTTATTTCACTTAACAGAATGACCTCTAGTTCCATCCATGTTGTTGGAAATGACAGAACCTCATTCTTTTTATGGCGAAGAGTACTGCATTGTGTATAAGTACCACATTGTCTTTATGCATCTGTTGATGGACACTTAGGTTGCCTTCACATCTTGGCTATTGTGACCAGTGTTGCAACAAACATGGGAATGCAGATATCTCTTTAATTATTTTCTTCCCTTTGGGTATATACCCAGCAGTGGGATTCTGGATCATATGGTAGCTCTAGTTTTAGTTTTTAGAGGAACATCCAAATTGGAGAAGCATAATTTTGAACCCCAATTAAGCAAAATGTTATCTCACCCCAAAATAATTTCATTATTCTCATTAATAGGCCTGTATTAGAAATCACTGTACTCAGCTGGGTGCAGTGGCTCACGGCTGTAATCCCAGAACTTTGGGAGGCCGAGGTGGGTGGATCACTTGAGGTTAGGAGTTCGAGACCAGCCTGGCCAACATACCGAAACCCTGTCTCTAAAAGAAAAAAAAAAAGAGAAATGATTGGACTTGATCACAATTATATTTTTAAAATTTCATCAATAAAATTAATGGACACTTTGCTCTTAAGTACCTATATAATATCCTTGATTTTACCTCTTTACCTGCAAAGCCTGAAATATTTATGATCTTACTCTTTACAGAGAAAAATTTGCTGACTGCTGATCCAAGTAAACTATTGTGCATTTAAGATTTGGATGTAGACTCCTGTTAGATAGAAAATATCCTTAAGATGTCCTAATGCAGTGCCTTAATTTTATAGCTAAAACCAAACCCCAGGAAGGTAGATGACTCTTCCCACACAACTCAGCTAGTTAGTGATAGAGGCAGTACACTTTCCACTGGAGGAGGCAGACCCTCTGGGTAGCATAGTTGGACTTTATTCATCTTTCTTTAAATGGACCTCTGTGTTGTCACCAATCCAAAACTTTTTGATGGACAGGTGAGAGGCGATGCAGCGTAGAAACACCGTTGTCCAATCGCCTCATTGAATAGGGCCTGGAAAATACATAATTGCTGTGTTTCCCTTTTGTAGGGCGAGCCCTTTAGGTTTTAGAATTTCTCATTAAAACTTTTTCAAAAGCACTGGTGTGCTGACTTTTTTTCTGTGAAGTTAGTAACAATAAATAACTGGGTATGTTAATACATTTTCACTGAGCCATGTTCAATTTAGAATGAGATTGTTCATTGAGCAGTACAGTAACCCTAAACTGAGGGAATAATTTCCCCTCATGTGCAGCCTTCCCATTGTTCCATGGTTATCTGCTAATAAACCCAGCCATGCTGTGTTTGTCTCTGCTTCCCTCCTGCCTGTGTAATGATGATTACTCTCTGGCATTTGTTTCTTTTTCCACAGGTGGTTTACAAATCCCACGACTGTCAATGCCTTCTACAGCGCATCCACCAACCAGATCCGTGAGTACTGGCTCCTTGCCTCCTTGGTAATGTGGTATAAAATGGAAGGAACTCTTCCGTGACTATGATGGAGGGTAAAGCATTCTGTATTTCCCCCAAAAGTGACAGGGTATGCTGGTGAAGGAAGGTTGTTTTCCTACCTATATGCTAAATTTTCCTCACTCTGTTCAGCTTACTAGTTTTTTTTTTTTTTTAAAGTTTTATGTCACCATTGATTTAAAAAAAATCAACTACAGTAAATTAAACCATAATGAAATTTGTCATGAAAAGGAACAAGCTTCCACTTTCCTCTCACAATGGCCTTACTGATTTTGTCCACACCATTTTGTTCATTCGTAGGATTGGTGGGGAAAACAGCAGGTAACTGAGCGGGTTGTAGAACTTAAGAGGACCATCTGTGTGTAAGAAAGAAGCTTGGAAATATTCTTATTAATGCTAGTATGTTATGTCTTGAGGTTTTCTACTTATATGTATCAGGTACATGCAATTAAAAATGCCATGATAAATTTAAAACTTTATTATTTTTATTATTTTTTCAAGACAGAGTCTCCCTCTGTCACCCAGGCAGGAGTTCAGTGGTGTGATCCTGGCTCACTGCAACCTCTGCCTCCCTGGTTCAAGTGATTCTCGTGCCTCAGTCTCCTTAGTAGCTGGGACTATAGGTGTGCACCACCATGCCCAGCTAACTAAGTTTTTTTATTGTATTGTATTGTTAGTAGAGATGGGGTTTTGCCATGTTGGCCAGGCTGGTCTCAAACTCCTGGCTTCAAGTGATCTTCCAACCTTGGCCTTCCAAAATGTTGGGATTATAGGCATGAGCCACTGCACCTGGCCTTAAAAATTATTAAGATCTGATTAGCATAAATTGAAAGTCTGACAGCATCCAGCCTTGGCAATAAGGACACATACTCACTGCTGGTGAAAACATAGATTGGCTCATCCACTTTGTAGAGCAATTTGACACTATCTCGAAAAGCTGAAGATGTGCATGCATACCTATGACCATCATCTGTGCTCCTGGAATGTGCTCTAGTGCTGTGATTCTTGAAATGTGGTCATTGAACCTGCAGTAATAGCATCATGGGGGATCTTGTTAGAAATGCAAATTCTCAGGCCCCACCTTAGATCTATTGATCACACTTTGGTGGTGGAGCTCAGAAATCTGTTGCAATAAAAACTGCAGGTGATTGTAATATATGCTACAGTTTGGGAACAGCTGCCCTAGAAAACTCTTGCCCAAGGCATAAAGAGGCCCATGTGAAAATGCTCATAATAGTATTATTTATAATAGTAGAAAAAACAAAATAACCTACCTGTTCCTCTGCAGGAAGATGAATCAAATGTAGCATATTCCCACAAAGGAATACAATACAGCAGTGAAAAATGAGCAACATATATTAAAATGGATGAATTTCACAAGTATTAGGTTGGGCAGAAAAAAACACCTTGGAAAAATATATCAAGTATGATACTATATGAATGAAGTTGAAAATCATGTAGAACAGTTCTATACGTTGTTTTGGAGGCCCATCCATTTGTAGTTGAAGTGTAAAAACATTCATGAGAATGACAAACACCAAATTCCGGTGAGTGGTGGCTTGTCTTGGGGAGGGTAGGCCACTCCTGCTCAAATTCCTACTGGTTCCTCCTCATCTCCCATATCTCTTGATGGTGGCATGCCCCAAGGCTCAGTCCTTGCACCTTTTCTGTTCTCTTCTCTCCATCTTTGCTCACTTGCTTGGTAATAACATCTAACCTCATGGTTTTGATCACATTTCTACAGTGTTGAATGCAGGGGATGGAATTTACCACCCTTGTTCATACCGCCACCATTTCCCACCTGGATTATGATAATAGCCTCCTCATTGGCCTCCCTGCTTTTGTTTTACCCACCTTCAGTCTATTCTAAATATATTGTAGCGATTTTAAGATGTTTTACAATCACGTTGTGTCACTCTTTTGCATCCCGTCTCACTCAAAGGAAGAGCCATTTTGTTTTTGAGATGGAGTTTCACTCTTGTTGCCCAGGCTGGAGTGCAATGGCCTGATCTTGGCTCACCGCAAGCTCTGCCTCCCAGGTTCAAGCAATTCTCCTGCCTCAGCCTCCCGAGTACCTGGGATTACAGGCATGTGCCCCCACACCTGGCTAATTTTGTATTTTTAGTAGAGACGGGGTTTCACCATGTTGGTCAGGCTAGTCTCGAACTCCCAACCTCAGGTGATCTGCCCACCTTGGCTTCCCAAAGTGCTGGGATTACAGGCTTGAACCACTGTGCCTGGCCGAGCCAAATTATTTATAATGGCCTTGAGGCTTGTGATCTTTCTGCCTGTGCCTCCTACTGCTTTCCCCCTTCCTTCCTCCTCCTATTCCAGCCACGCTGGCCTCCTTTGTGTTTGTAGAGCACATCTGACATGCGCTGCTCTTGACGGGTTTATACCTGGGGTTCGCTTTCTCTTGGAAAACTTCCCCAAGTGACCTGCCAGGTTTATGCTCCCATTTCCTTCAAATCTTTATTCAAAGGCCAGACGACCTTCTCAGTGAGGCATCCTGCCTTCCCTCTGGCCAGTTGGCCAGTCTGTCATGGGTCCTCCATACTAGCTGTTGTTCCTATAGGACTCTGGGCAGACGGGACAGCCCGAAGGCTGTGGCTGCTCACTACCAACTGGCGCATCTTCTTAGAGCCGCCCTCGTGTGGCCACTATTAGGAATGGCAGTCTCTGCCCAACAGAAATGAACAGAAAGGAGGAAGACAAGCAGATGGTGGGAATTTTTTATTTATACATTAATTTACATAACCAAGTAAGTTGTTAAATATTTTGAATGTCACTTCTTACTATATAAATATTCATTATCATGAAAGTATCATTGCTTTCTTAAGGTCCTAAATGCCAACTTGAAAACTAAGTTGCATATCTTATATGGGAACTTATGATATGTGAGTTATTAATTATAAGTAATACTTACAACAATTAATTTAATATATTATTAATTATAATAACATTTAGAATATTGGGTAATAGAAATTGTTTATTCACCTAAAAACATTGTCTAATATTTGCTACATGTGAAAGAACATATGTAGCATTTTGGCACATGTAAGTTATAAAGAATTTATGAAAACATGACAAAATCAGTGTGCCTATGAGGCCCTCACCCAATCGGGAACCATCCCTCCCTCTCACCACAGAGGTAACACTCTTGTGATTTGAGTGTTGATTTTTTAAAAATAAAACTTTATTTATATAGGTATCCCTAAACAACATGTTGTTTATTTTTACTTGTTTCTTAGTATAATAAAAATGGCATCTTACTGTATACAATCTTAACTGTGTTTTTTCAGTCAACATGTTTTTAGGATTCGCCCATGTAGCATGTGGTGGTAGGTTGTTTTCATGTTCACTGCTGTATAATATTTCATTTCATGACTGTACCCCCAGATTGTTTATTTTTCTATTGTCTGACCTATGTGTCCCCGCAGCCAGGCTTTTGCTTATGAACAGTGCTGCTCTGCATATTCCTGTGAATATTTCTTGAAACAAGTATCTGAGAATATACACTCAGGAGTGGAATTCTTGGCTGGTAGGAAGAAGTTATCTACCAGATAACATCAGATGTTTTCCAAAGCTAGTGTTCTAAAGTCCAGAAGTGTTTCTGTTTTTCCTCATTTTTATCAACTCTCGGCATCGGTAGACTTAATTTTCACCAGTCTAGTGAGTGTAAGAGATCAGCTCTTATGCAAGAAAAGCCATTGTTTCTACATTCACTTTAAAATGTCAGTGAAGGCTTACTTCTCCTTGGGGGACTCAAGTGTGTCTAATAATAGTTCCATCTCCAGGGTTCACCCCTGCTTGCCTTCTTCTTGTCTGGGAAGGGCTAATCGTATCAGAGGTTTACTGCGGAAGAAGCCATTTCAGGGTAACGCAGTGGTTTTGTGAAAGCTTATGGGCAGAGGGGTTTTAAAAATGAACAATTTGAAACAGTATTTTAATTAAGAGATTCAAGCTGTTTCTGTTTTCCTAATGACCACTGCTTGCTCTCATTGTAAATTACATTCCCAGGCAAGATGACAAGGAATCCTTTGGGTGACTTTTTTTTTTCACTCCTTTCTGATTATCTGGACTAAAAATTAAGACAGGTGAAGTTTCTTCTTGCACATTTCCCCACTGGGTTTCCTGGGACTTCCCCCACCCTACAACTGCCTTCTTTTTGCTTCACTGAAGAAGTGAAAAATTGAGGTGATTCTCTAAAATGAACATCTTTATTGATTAGGGGCTGATTCTGACAGCATGTGGCCATCTGTTTAATTGGGTTTTACATCTAAGATGTAACTATACTTAGTAACGTGATTTATGACAATTTCATTCAGTTCCCATTATCATTTTCTGATTTATGCCACTTAAATCTGCTTCTGCACACAATAGAGATTTGAGCAGAAAATAGAAAAACCTGTAGTTTTTTTATTTCTTTCAAATCCATGCCTTTGTGTGGAACCCTGTGATTTGTGGCCATCTTTCAATGTTAGATTTTTACAGGGTGGTTATAGCTTCTTATGTTTCTTCCCTTGTCAAGCTGGGTAGCAACGTCTCCAGGCATGGGGCATAGTGTGAAATTATAATGATTTAAATCTGCTGTGTAAGGAGTTATACTCAGTAGCTGTCATAGAATTTAATTATATTTGAATTAACAAGGTGGTTAAAGAGGAAAACAAGGATCTGTGATGACTGGTGCCTAACCCTAACTTTGTGATAACTGTGACGCTGACCTCACTGCTTCCCAGAGGGGCAAGGTAAGCACATGGATCGGAGATCTAGTTTTTATGGCCTGAGTTGAGGTTTTTATCCTTCCAGACAACTTTGTCCTGTCTGCCACATGAGGCTATCTAGCCCTAGGGTTTTAGGGGACGATTTAATGATATGAATTTGTAAAGTGCCGGCACATTGCCAGGCTCAGGGCTTGTATATTTAAACCTGGCATGCCAGGAATCCCTGTGATAACCATT